ATCTGTGCTTTCAGTTTATCCTTATAACTTCCCACATTGTGTAACTTGCTCCAGTATTTGTATCTTTGAGTGTTTAGCAAAGCTTTATGTGCATATTCTCAAGGTATTTGCTGACAAAGGAATGCAGTTATTTTTGTTTTGTTTTGATTTGTGCTTCACCTATTATTTCATTTTTATCTTGTCAAGAAGAAAACAGTTTCCCCAACGGTGTGTTCTTTTTGAGTTTCATTTTTAAGAAAGCTCAGAAGAGCCTTCTTAGCATTTATTATTGGTGACTTTTCTTTAAAGCATTGGCTTGAATACTATAATACTTAAACATGCTAGAAACATTGTTGAGTTTTGCCTTCATGTCTGGATGTTTAGCTTTTAAATGACTAGCTAATTATGAGCAGGTCAGGATATCATAATCTATTAGCAAGAGTGGACGTAAATTCATACTTAAAACAGTGATCTTTGTAATCAATTATTGTGGACAACTTCTTGTCAAATCTGATTAGTCATTAGTTTTTTACCTTGCAATGTGGCTCCCAAAGAGTGTCAGAAACGTCGGCTCAGCCAGTTGTGTTTGCCTGTTCTTGCATTTTTGACACTGTATTCATTGGTCCATGCTGTAACAGTTTACTTCAATATGAACCATGATCCTCTTCCATACAGAAGCTGCAACATGTAAGCAATACGTTGGAAGTGCACAAAAGAGCCTGCCCTCCCGCCCCCACACATACTGCCTGCTTCCTACCCTTTCCCCTGCATGCTGTGTGCCTGCCCACTTATGGATTAAGTGGGGGCACCAGTGCCAGTTCTCACATTAAATATTAGTAAAGCCTAATTTCAAACCCCCCTCCCCTTTTTTTTGGTTAAAAAATGTATAAGAGTATTTCAAAAAGTTCGTGGAAGAATTGAATTAAAAGATAATATGAATCCTCTTCTATGAACTTTCTGAAGACCCCTTGTGTTTGTGAATAGGAATTTAAATACTTTACTCCAGAACTGCAGTAAATTCTGCAATTTTAGCAGAAAAAAAATGGGGTCATCTTCTGCACCTCACTTTGGAGAGCCTTGCTCTAGATAAGTCGTCTTAAAATTTTGCTTGTTTTTAACCTTCAAACCTCCCTTTTTAAATGAACATGAAACTCTAACATTTAAAGAAAAAGATGGCAATAAGACTGCTCTGATTGACTTTAAAATGGGGGTGTCAGAGCTCCAGACCTCTTCCGCCTCCTCAGGCAGACTTACAGATTCTTCTGTGGCAACCTAATTTTCTTGGAACATAGTTGGAAGAATCTTGTGCCAAGCCTAGCTCTCCAGGTCTGCACTCCACAACGCCTGCTTCCTCTCTAGTCATTAAGGAATCACCATGTTTTTCAAAAGTTGGTATATTAATATTCATGATCTGGGGACCAGGAATAGCTCCCTGAGTTACCTCACACGTACTCACATGTACCTCATGCTACATCCTATTTGGGCAGGGATAAGATCATTTAACAGCATGAATATGAAATGGTGGCATTTCAGCCACTAAAATAGGAAAAAGTATTATTTGGGCTGAAAGCATTTCCTGTGCATTCCCCAGTGACTTTGAGGTTGGAGGACATATGCTAATCCAACTTGTTACACTCTGGTTAAAGTAGCTATTTCCTGAAATCCTGCTAATGAGGGAAATTACAAATATATAAATCAAACAAAAATTTTAAATGATAGGAAAATGACTATAAAAAAGTGATCTTAAGATAATTATGAAAAGGAACTTTAAGATGTCAGGAAATGGACTCTGTGATATTCTATTAGCTAAGTAACACCAGCTGCTGTAATAATTGACCTCAAAATGTCTGGCTTAACTCAATAAAGATCTATTTCTCACCCATATCATAGTACAATGCATGCTGTGAGGAGGCTCTGCTGTAATCAGTCATTCAGGGACTGGTTTCACATGGGAGTACCAATATCTTCAAATACATGGTTTCAAGGTTGACTTGGCTTTGGTAGAAGAGGAAAAAAGAGAGTGGAGAAGACACACCTTCTCTTAACCGCTCAGCTGAGATCATATCCCACTGGTGACAACAAATCATGTGGTCCTACCTGTATGCACAAAGTTTGGGAAACGTAGTTTAGCTATTTTGGAAAAGAAAATGGGTTTTGCGAGCATGTAGCCAGGCTTTGTCATATATACAGAGGCAGGGGTCTAGACCAGGGATTCCCAATCTATAACTTGAATATTACCAGGTCTGATTTTGGAAATCTCTTGGGAAGACTCCACCACTCTTTTCTGCCTGCCTTATAGGAACCTGCAGCACTAACTTCACCTGCTGCTCTTCCTTGAGCAAGCCATGATCTTCCCATGTCTCTACACTTTGCATGTGATTTGCATGTGAGGTCTGTCCAGTTCTCTCCAATACTCCTTCCCTTCCAACCTCCTCTTGCTCCAAATCTAGCAAACTCTTCCTCATCTGTTAAGACTTAAGACAATGTTTACTTCCTCTATGAACTTCTCTCTGATGACACAAGGCACAGATCTCTTCTTACTCTTCACTGAACTTTATCCTTGTACTTTGTACTTATCTCTATTACTGAATGCATAAGCCTGTCTCTTAACTATTTAAGGAACCAGGATTTTTTCAAAAGGATCAGGTGCATTAATATTCACAATCTAGTGAGCTTTATAGACTCAGACTCTCAAGGGCAGGGACTGTATTTTATGTATTCCCATGCCTACCCAGCACAGGCCTGACTCACACACTCAATAAATAAGGGGAAAAAATGTATGCTTTCTCCTTCTCGCCACTTCCCAGTTATCATACCTCTGGTGTCTTTGTTTTTTGTATTGCGGTATATTTTATGTATTCCCATGCCTACCCAGCACAGGCCTGACTCACACACTCAATAAATAAGGGAAAAAAATGTATGCTTTCTCCTTCTCGCCACTTCCCAGTTATCATACCTCTGGTGTCTTTGTTTTTTGTATTGCGGTAAAAAACACGTAACATAAAATATACGATCTTAATCATTTTTTTAGTGTTCAGTATGGTAATGTTAACTATAACATGCACCTTGCTATGCAACAGATCTCTAACTTTTTCATCTTGCAAAACTGAAATTCTATACTCAATAAACAATTCCCCTTTTCTTCCCCTCCCCCCTACCCCGCCCATGGTAACAACTATTCCACTTTCTGTTTCTAAGAGTTTGACTACTATAGGTACCTCATGTAAGTGGAATCATGCAGTATTTGTCTTTTTGTGACTGGCTTATTTCACTTAGCATAACTTCCTCAAGTTTTCTCCATGTTGTAGCGTTAAGACAGGATTTCCTTCTTTTTAAAGAGTCATTAATGTTCCATTGTATGTACATATTGCACTTTCTTTGTGCATATTTATTTATTTTTGTTGAAAAATAATTGATTGTACATTTCTGTGGGATATAGTGTCAAATATCAATACCTGTGTGCAATACGTATGCCACATTTTCTTTATCCTTTCACCCATTCTATTGTTTTGTTTTTGACTTGTGGGTTACTGGAAGGGACTGATGAGAAAATAATACTTTCAATTGACCCAAGAGAAAACGTGTTCACGTATGCTTGAATTTTTCAGATTCTAAAGACTAAAAGAGAAGTTATACTGAATACAAAAGGAAATTAGATTTTTTAAAAAATCAGTCTCCACATAGAGAATGTTTCCTATTATATTGTATCTGATCCCGAGAAACTATTAAACTACTTTCAACTGAGCTATAATAAGGGCCCATAATAAAGAACTATTGACATTCCAAAGGCCTCTTACCTAGCCTTTTCACTGCCTACCTCAGCACCTCCTGTTTCATACCCTCCAAATAGCTCTGTTGACAAAAGAAAGTAGGGCAAAATAAATAAAAGGATAAACAAGAACTCTTTCAACTCAGAGGACGTGCAAGAATTTTAATGATTATGGAGGAGCCACGCCCCAGAACAACCCCAGGCAATTCTTGGTATTAGTAGCGGATCCCAGTGTTTGTCTGCACTGAGGTAGTTTAAGGCCCTTTAGATACATTCATAATCCACTTCAGTGCGTTATCATGAAAGAATCTAAAGTAACCTTGCATTAACATAATCGCTATATTTTCAGTTGGTCTGCGGAGCTATTATTAAATATGTAGCCATAATGTGTGCGAAAAAATCTCCAAGTAAACTAGCATTTAGCTCACCAATACGTTAAACCCCTATACATAACTTCCTTTAAAAACTATCACACTAAAAAATCCCAGCATTTAATATCCTGCAGTTTTGGGTAAAATATTACAGGTAGAGCTTGAAATAGTAAACAATCCCCTCAAAGCGACATTAGCAAATTAGTTGCCGTGTGAACAAAGAGCCCTTTCTGCAGCCGCATGAATGTTGCCTTTATTTTTTCTCACAAGGATGATTTTAGAAAACAGCTGTAGCGCATGTTGACCAATGACAAAGCGGCAGACGTGGTAAAACACTTTCGGTCAAGGACGAGAGGGGGAAAACTGGGCCGCTGGAGCGGCAAATGGGCTTGAATCCCCCGCTTCCCCAACCTCTTTTCTCCAGCCTGGAGTGAGCGGGGGCCCCATCGCCCCACCCCCCTTTGCTGGCTCTCGTTACAGCCTTTCGAGTTGAACAAACTTGCCGCAGGCGGATTGGCGGCCCGGAGCTCTCCGGCTTGGGCGTTGGATTTGTGAATTTATATTCCGCGGCGCCCCGCGCGGGCCTCTCCTTTGTATCCGGCCGTCGCCGCCCGGACACTGGGGCCTCGGTGGGGATCGCTTCCCCCGGACCCCGGGGGCCGGCACGTGTGCTCCAGGCCAGCCGGCCAGCGAGGGGGCGGGGGCCCCGGCTTTTTCCCTACCCCCCTCCCAGCCAGGAGGAGGAGCAGCAGGAGGCGACAGCTGCCCCGCCGGCCGAGGAGGCGCGGCGGAGAGGGGGCTGCGGTCAGCTGAAGCCACTCGGGGCTGCCGATCGGCCCCGCGCCCGGCGACTCTCGGCGGCCGCCCCCCCTCCCGCGATGTTCCCGGGCACTTCCTGAGCGGCTGGCAGCGCTCCCCGGGCCCCCGGCTGGCTCGCTGGCTCGCACGGCCCCGCTCTGCGTCGGCCGCGCCGCGGTGGAGGCGCGCGAGGGGGACGCGGCCGGGGATGAGCGGACTGCGGGTAAACACGCTGCGGAGCGGCCCCACGGAGCTGTAAGGAGCTGCTTTTCCCTGAGTCGCCGCCCTGCCCTTGGATTTGACATCATGTACGTACGCGTCGCCGTCCTGCCATTGTCTCTCCGCGGATCGCTTGCGGTGCGCCCCGGGGCAAGGGGCTCGTGCCCATCCTCGCCGCGCGCTGCCCCCCGCACTTCCTGTTGGGCGGAAAGTGACCAGTGTGGTGACCGTGCTCCTTTTCTCCTCTCGTCCCCATCTCTCCGTGCAGGTCCATTCACATCGTGGCGCTGGGGAACGAGGGGGACGCGTTCCACCAGGACAATCGGCCGTCGGGGCTCATCCGCACTTACCTGGGGAGAAGCCCTCTGGTCTCGGGGGATGAAAGCAGCTTGTTGCTGAACGCGACCGGCACAGTCGCGCGTCCCGTGTTCACCGAGTACCAGGCCAGTGCGTTTGGGAACGTCAAGCTGGTGGTCCACGACTGTCCCGTCTGGGTAAGGAGTTTCAGCTGTTCCGTGCTGAGGCTGAGGGAGCTTTTTCATTTTTTTCCTCCTCCCCCTTTGCCCCACTTCCGTGAATGTGGAGTGTTCGCGTCACCTGGGTAGAATTTTTAAATATTTTTGGGGAAATCGTTGGTCCTTTGTCTCCTTGGGCAGGGGGCAGCCCAGTCAGAGAACAGTCTTGGAAGGTAAAAAGCCCTAGGGGGAATGTGGATCACTTGCTTGTACACTTAACGACTGTGGGTTGTTCCCTCGTAGACAGCTGACGGTTGCATGTGCCAACCCCAACGGACTGGGTCACTAAGTTTCACCAGCAGAGAGCAATGTTTTTTCATGCCGACCCTGTGGGTGATAGCGTGATATTAGTGTTCTAAAAATACGGCCCTCTGAAAGCTCAGCACAGGCAAAAATACTCTTCACTGGCACAATTCAGAAATAGGACCCCTGGAAAGGGGAGTGGAGGAGAGACAGGAACTGAGAGTTAATTTTAAACTATTCATTTATAGCACTGTTCACCTCTGAAAAATTTTAATTAGTGTTGTAAATTTTAATAATGCAAATACTATTGATGTATTAGCCATTTGTTTTTAGTGACTCCTAAATCAGAAATAATTACTAAGTTTGCTTGGAATTTTTTTTTTTTTAAATCTTTAAAATTTTCGATTTTTGAAAAAAACTGTAGTAAAGTCAATAAATTCCATTCCGATTGTTGAGTGTGTGATGAAAGGAGAAAAGAATCTGCTCCCTGACACAGATAAATATTTTCAAAACACAATAACATTATATTTTGAATGTTTTCATTTAATGTTATTTGAAAATTTTGGTTCTTTGCTGAATCAAAAATATAAAGATTTCATTTTATAACAGGAAAGTTTAGTGTCTGGAAAAGAAAATACAAATTATCACTATGTGAGATTTTACATTTAAACAGTAATTTTTAAAAACCGTATGAGGGACTATAGGGAACTAGCACACCTTTCCAAAGTAATGAGTAGATTTCCCTATCTATGAAATAATCATAATAATCTCTGCCTCCTAGAGCTGTACTGAGGAGAAAATGAGATAGTACATGTACAGTTTTAAGTGTTGAGGCTGGCATGTAGCACATATGGCATGGTGCTTCATAAGTGTTTATTATAACTTTAGTATGGCCTGTATCACATATTAAGCAAAAATAGTTTCCCCACGAATTATTGGAGCTTTATACAAATATAGTACATTGAGGCAGTGATGTTAGTATTTAGTAGGTACTGTATTTGTAGCCTCACAATCGAGTAGAATAAAACTGTTGTTTTACAACAATTCAGATTTTCAGATATAAAAATTCAGATTTTTTTTAAAAAAGATGAGTTCAGTTCTCAAGCTTGTGGCCCCAAGCCGTGTGTTCCCATATAGGGATGGCCGGTTGCTCACTGGGTGAGCGTGGTGCTGACAATACCAAGTCAAGGGTTAAGATCCCCTTACCGGTCATCTTTTAAAAAAAAAAAATGTATAGAATGTAAATAGAAAAATATGTATGCAGATTTTCATATTATAGACAGAAAAGATCACTTCCCCATATATATTTTCAGTCAAAGAAAGTTATATTAAAATGCTGAAATAAATTAAGAACAGGCCTTTTTCATATAAAAGATGCTATTAAAACCTAGTTATGACAGTGTTGATACTGTTCATAAGAAGCATCGATGGAGAACTTACTGCTGGAATCTATGCACACGAATGAAATGCCTTTCCTTTGGCCCTTTCATTGTGAAAGATCTTACAGTCTGAAAACTTATTGGTTCAACAAGCAAACATTTGATGGATAGAGTAGATAAATGTAGGGAAAATAGAATAAGCTGAATTAAGATGTTAGGATTACTTTTCCTGTTTTTAATTTGGGCTGTTAACCCTTTCCTGTTTATGTTGTTAATTTAGCAAAAAGCAGTGTTATTATCCCATGTATTGTGTGTAGTAAGATGAAATCTTCCAAAATGATTAAAATAAGCATCTGTAGTCAAGGTTTTTGCCTTATATTGTTTGTTATGGTTTATTATGCTAATCACTGTTTGGTTAGACTCTGGCCCTATTTAAGGCACCGAGTTTGTAACCAGGTACAATTTTCTAGGTTGGAATGGTCTTCAGACATAATAGTATACATTTGTAAAGTTACTCTTTATGATGCTTTTCTTCTCTTGGCAGTAAGTAAAACCACTCAGAGATATTCAAGTTGATTGTATTCATCAGCTGTTATTTGACATATGTACTGATCAGAATATTAAATATAGCAGAGCAGATAGAGCACAGGTTTTGATATCAAAAGGACCTGATTTCAGATCCCCATATTGCCACTTAATGGTTGGGTGTCCTTGGTAAATCACTTATGTTCCCTCAGCCTTATTTTCCCTATCTATGAAATAATCATAATAATCTCTGCCTCCTAGAGCTGTACTGAGGAGAAAATGAGATAGTACATGTACAGTTTTAAGTGTTGAGGCTGGCATGTAGCACATATGGCATGGTGCTTCATAAGTGTTTATTATAACTTTAGTATGGCCTGTATCACATATTAAGCAAAAATAGTTTCCCCACGAATTATTGGAGCTTTATACAAATATAGTACATTGAGGCAGTGATGTTAGTATTTAGTAGGTACTGTATTTGTAGCCTCACAATCGAGTAGAATAAAACTGTTGTTTTACAACAATTCAGATTTTCAGATATAAAAATTCAGATTTTTTTTAAAAAAGATGAGTTCAGTTCTCAAGCTTGTGGCCCCAAGCCGTGTGTTGCATAACCTCCTAGAGGAAATCCTGAAACTGATTAACAAGGGGTGGGAGAATTTTATTTCCTTCATAATTTTAAAAATCGCTGGAGCATTTTCTCTTTGACATAGTTTGAGAAGAAAATTGTCATTGTTGCCTTGGAGTTGTAATGAGATAGTTGTGTGCTTTTCTTCCCTAAATCCCTTCTGTACATCCTTAGCCTTACTCTGGGTAACCGTCGCATCTACTTGGCACTTTTTAAATAAATGTGCTTCAAATTTATTAGATGTAGCTCATTATTTAGAGTGTTTCTCACTCACCTCCCTTTTTGTGCAGTTATATTATTATTTCATTTCATATTTCTAGATCTTTTTCTGTTTGCCAAAAATATTTCATAAAATACAATGAGATAATACATTCATAATTTTCTTGTGTAGGATTTGAAGCTCTGATTTGTATTACAAATAAAAGTATTTGTAGTCTTTACACCTCAATACCACAAAGTTAATGATGCCCAAACCCAGTTTTTCATAACATTTTCCCTTCAGTGTCTCCCTTTTCCCCATACACCTCTTCAGTAACTCTGGAATTTTGAACCATGTGAAAGGCGAAGAGAAGCTACTTTTGATTTATTCTCTCAGAATTAAATGGCTGCTTAATATTGGTCCCTCTTATATTTAGTTTTTTATCCCATTCATCTGACTTTGTCCTGTTTCTTTGTTGTACTTAAATACTCTGTTATACTTTTATACTTTGAGAACTTGAGTACCATAACATACAGTTGGAACCGAATGGGTTTTGTGGTTTGGGATTGGAAATTAGTGTAGAGCTCTGCTGGGAAGCTTTCCTGTTTTCCCATTTTCTTGCTCTGTGTTCTACTCTCCCGCCCCCCTTCACCCTCTACCAAGTTCAAGACTTTGCCTTTGTTGTTTATAGTCCATAGTCGGCCTTTTTTTTTTTTTTTTTTTTG